GAGTACTTACTACATACGTGTGTGTGTGTACTGTATGCATGTGGAGTGAGTGACTATGTAGAATACGTGTATGAGGAAGCAAGTGGAGTACATAGCCAGATGGGAATGTATGGCTATGTGGAGTGAGATGGAGTAAGTCACGAGACAGAGGTGGTGAGGTAACAGGGTAAGGCGAGCCAAGACGTAACCCAAGACGCTATCAACTGCTTGGCTCAAGAGAACTTATCAAAGGTGACCAAGACGAAATGAATGTCCCAGAGAAGACGGAGAAAATGGGGAGGAGGTATAATGAGATGATGATAATGTAATGCGAAAGAGGGAAGAGGGATACAATTAGATAAAGGAGGTCTAGGATGAGGAAAAGAATTGATACCTGGGAGAAGAGAAGCAGGTGAGGGAAGAAAGGAGAGGAAGCAGAAATATCAGATGGTAAAGGAGAGAAATAGAGACTTGAATAGGATGGATAGAGAAGTGGTAAGTAGATAGAGAGGAAGGAGGAGCAGTAGACAATGAGAGGGAGATAGAGTGGGAGGAGTGAAGGACCTTAGACAAGAGAGGGAAGAAGAAAGGAGAGTAAACAGAGGTGGATGCAGTATACAGTAAGGAGTAGGAAGAGGAGGAGGAAGCAGGAGGGAAGAAGAGGTAGAGAAGAGGAGGTAGGAGGAAGTAGGAGGAGGTAGGAGGTACGCGGTGAGTCATGAGCCGGGTATGTGAGAGGTCCGCCGCAGGCAACAGAGGTGTGAGTGAACTGGACTGCTGCTCGACTACTTATTTTCCTTTTCAGTCAAGTGTTTTTTATTTTTTTTTTTAAATTCTGTCTCTCGCTAATACTGTGGTGGGGTACATGTCAAGACCCACCCACGCCACCCACAGTCGAATACACAGTCATGGGGGTGTACTTTCTAAATGGTTAATGGTTCTATGTTATTTTTAAGGATTTATCAATGAATTACAACTATCGAGAGCCACACACACACTGCGTAATCAATTCCTTCTCCCATACGTCCACACTGTTGTTTATTTTGTGGAAGCGTCATAACAAGAACATTTCATCACCTAACTGTTAAGAGAACTGTAAACCACAAGGCAAGTGTAAAGGAACGTGAGGGAACTGTTGGAATGGCTGGCGTTTACCTATTACTTTTATGGCAGCCACCGTCACTGTCAACCCAACACACACAGTCCAGAACACCACATCACAAGTACTTGAAAGTCTCAGGGAGTTCTTAAAAATTCCTGGTAATTATTTGAGGATTTTTATATTAATATGATATAACTCAACCCCGGTGGTCTCCTAACACCCTGAGGCGGAATGTTTGTTACTCTTACACCGACAGACTGACCCACGCTGATCAGTGATAAAATCCCAAGTCTGGTCTCAAATATCAGACGGCCTCAGTTGAAAGGCCTTGAATCTAGCAGCCCCGAGTAGAAGGTAGGTCAGTCACTCTCGCTCCTCTCTGTCTCTCTCTCAGCTGACACCACCACACCTTCCCAAAATGTCAAATAACACCTAGTTTTTTGTTGTGAAGCCCCCACCCCCACACCCCTCTATCTCTCTCCTTCCCAAAGCATTAAATCATCGCGGCTACTTGTTGTGAAGGTCCACACATTACCACACTTAGAATTAAACAAAAAATAGCTTTAAAACAAGTGAAGGAGGGCGCGGCACACCACTACCTCCCTCCTGACCTTAACCTGAAGATGTCCTCCTCCTACACCAGGGTCACCCGTACACACCCCATGGTAAGAGCTTAAATGGATGAAGTGGTTGCTGGGGGAGGTGGTGGGTGAGGGAGGTACTGTGGAGGTGGTGGGGAGGGAGAGAGAGAGGGGGGGGGGTGAAGGGGAGAGGGCAGCTGTGAGAGTAAATAGACCAGCTGTTAAGACGTGCAACAGCTGCAGCAGTCGAGGCCAGGGTTTAGGCCTATACCTCACACCGTCACCCGAGTCGGCCTACAGCTTGGTATATCATTAACGGGAAAAATTAAGAGTAAAATATTCAACATGACTCACGAGGCCACGATGATCAAGTTTTAAACGACACAAATACTCCAAGACCGAAGTACCTACACGTCACGAACTCTCCAGGAAGTTACGACACTAGTTAGCAAATAAGAACCTGAGACGCAGCATTGTGAGCCAGTTATAATTGTAGCCGTAATGACAACTGTCGCTGAGGGTCTGGGTCTGCTGTCATACGGTATCTCCCCATTGTCGTGACCTTCCTAGATGCGGGTATTATTCGAGGTCACTATAAAACGACCTTAACACTACCTATAAATATAAAAATACTTAAATCATACTTTATACACGATACAGTCCCGGTGGTGTAAACTTGTGACAGTACTGGGCAAATCATTCAATCAGATTAGATTGAATTACATAGGTTCACTCGGCCAGTTTCAAGAGTGCATGATACCGCGGCCGCCATGACGAAAATAGACCTGTGTACTGATGTTAGTAATTACTTTGTGCTTCTACCCAGTGTTTTAGTTTATCTGCCGTAAGTTTTAGTCAATAAACGCGCGCAGCAAACCTTGAACTTTACCACTAATGCTTTTGTCTCTCCAGAGTAGGAAAGTATCAGTGAGGCAGTTCTGATACTTGACAGTTTAAGACGCAGAATTTCCAGCTTAAGACCCAAGATGGTGAGGAGCTTGAGAATATGAGAACCACAGGACTAGAAGCATTCAAGCAGAAAGGTATAAAGTTCTCCCGGCGTGACAGAGGATCCTACAGGAAAAACGAACCTTCCGTAGCGACAAATACTCTCAATATTTTTCTTCGGCAAATCCTACATGTACACAGGAAGGTCTTTAGGTATGTCCGGGCCCCGAGGTTAGACAAGAGCTCTTAGTTACGCTGAGAGGTAAAGTCCGGGAACTAAAATGTGACGTGGCAACCCAAGCATAAACCAAGAAGTGGGATAAGATCTGAAGAGGGCAGTGAGCACCTCTTGGCCCTCACCCACAGTGTCGTCGCCTCCACCGCAACCTCTTAACTTTATTACACCAAGAACGACACACTGGCTCAAGGCAGGAATGTACACCTCCTGCTGTAGGTGAACCAAGGCACCCCAGAACAGTGAGGTTGAGGAGGGCTTCTGGGTCAAGAGGTGGCTCCTCAACTAGCGAGGTGGGAAGTCCTGCCATAATGACGGGAAGCGCCGCGGGCAGCAGATCACCCCCTCACCCGCCTGCTTTGAGGGAGGGTATTAGAGACGCCCTCTTCGTCGACAACCCGCCACATTACTAATCATTCTTCAGCGACCAACACAGTCTTAATACTCATAATGTTTAATGTTGATGACGTAATTACTAACCTTACTTTGCGCTTAAAGATCTTAGTTGTTGAAGCGCAGTAATAACTTGTGGTAAACAACAGGTCGACTTACTAAAGAACTTATTTGTATTATCGGTACGTTATAATTTCCGAGTTCTGGCGACAACTCGTAACATGTTATTTCCGACAACAAATTGATGTAACCTACATTTTTCCTTTTCTGCATCAAAACGATTTTTTTCAATTAACACGATTTTTTTACAAACCAGTAATTCAAACAAGACTTTTCATCATTGAGATTCCAAATTTATTTCACAACTAGTTACTTCCTAGCAGCAGTACAGAAGACTCAATGACCAGGAGCTGAATCCCTCAGCTGTGGAGACATGAGAAAACACACCCAATTATCTCACTCCAACGACCCACAAACGATGGACAAACTGGCGTCGAAATTACACTGTAGACTCGTACCGTGACTAAACATACCTCACTTAACCAACCACAACTAGGGAGGAAATTTGACGCACCAAACTCCCGGGAATTCAAGCCCAGTGACGCGAAGATCAACACGCGCATTTTGTTGTCTCCAGAAAAAATTGTCGGAGCGCAGTGAGACATAAACCAGGCGAGGAGAGGGATAGAGAGGAGAACGCGGGCGAGGCAAACACAGTGAGTCCCTGTATGAATGAAGACTATCCACCATTCCTTCTCTACCTACCTACCTACTCCCGTTGCCTCTAGGCCTCTTGGCATCCTTCCCTCCCACACAAACACCACCAATATACTTGAAATACCGACACTCCACCGTGATTGATTAATACCTGTGTCTATAACGAAGGTAAAGCATCAGGTAGACAGAAAGAGAAATGATTTAACGTCTAGATGGAACAGCTGTAGCCGATAAAATACTAGTTGGACACTGTGGGGTTAAGGAAATGCCAGTCTGGGCCCCCAACAAAACTAACAATGTCGCCGCCATGGCTACAGTTAAACCAGCCGAGACAAAATAAAACTACAAATATTATACACCTTTATTAATACAAATACCAGAGTGAAAATATTAAACCTCTACCTAATTAATGAAAAAAATTCCATTCATCGTTGTTTTACTCTGTTTACGTTTGTATGAGCCCTCCCCCTCCTGTAGTGATCTGCCCCCCCCCCTCCCCATGATACACGCTCCCCATCACCAGCTGATCTTATACACCTGGTCATTACGAGTCCCACGTGGTCAATACTACACCCCGACACGGAATCAATAACCCCGGTGTGATCTTTGGTGACCACGGCGATTACTGATCATAAGCGCAGTGAAGCTTAATGTTGTACAGGAACAAAGGAAGAAGTTCATCGTTTATTGTACTGTGAAATAATGACTGGTACAAACTTTGCAAATTGTACCAGCGGCCTGAGAACTTTACCTGCGATTTATCTTTATCTTTACATGAATACAAATTAAGGATTAAATGCAATAAATTACTGTATACAATTTCCCACGCACCATGTAATGAAATGGCCGAGTAGGTCAAGTAATTATGGCTCATACAGGACTTGTTTCTATAATAATTAATCACTTAGAACCTATAATTAAAATACTGTATTCCACTTTAAACACCACAAGACATCCTGGGAAAGTTTATATCAACATTAACACAACTTTCGTTTTAAGAAAAATTAAGAACCTTTAAACCAAGAGACGACAACACTCGACTTACCTGGAGAATGTTGAGAGTCTTGCCTGGACCCTGGGACAGAACATCCTCACTAATACGTAATAAGTCCGACAGGTCGAGAGGGGGGGTGGTGGTGGCGTCCTCCACGTCACTGAGGTGTAGGGAGTCCTGGTCGTCGGAGCAGTGACAATCCGTCAATGTTTCTGGTTGAGTAACGTGTGTGTCACGTTGGCAGGTTTTATCGCTCCTCGTGTCCTTGTCACACTGTGGGCCACCTCCCTCACTGACTCCTATACTTTGGCAAGTTTCCGTCGGGTGGGATGCCTCCAAGCTGTCACACACGGCATGACAGTGAGATTCCCGCTCTATTTTGGCACCAATATTTACATTGTCCACACAGTCAACACCCTTATCTATGTTTACACTCTCGTCTGTACAAGAAGTGGCCGGCCAACAACTACAGTCAGTTGTAGTGTCCGTCAAGGGGCCGACTTTTGTATCTTTTGAAGGCGTGGTGTGGCGGTTGTGTACACCCTTCACCGCATCACTGTAAGTCTTTATAGTTACTGAGGCACCAACACTCTTCGCTTCATCGACACACTTCACCACTGGAACAGTTTCGACATCCTGGACGGTGGGACTCACTACCCTGTCCCTGCTACCGTCTGTCGCCGCCTCGCTCACACCTGGCGCCGAGTCTGCCGCCACCTGGACTGATTCTTTCCTATCGTCAATTTTAGAGCTCTCTGTGTGCCTCTCCGTCGTGCCTTCATCACCCGTGTTACTGCTATCCTCCTCACCTCCCTGTGTATCACTCTCGCTATCTACATCATCATTCATATTGTTATCCTCATCATCGTACTTATCCAGCTCGGGAGTTGACGACATTTTCTTAAATTTGGTGAGTTTGACAGAGTTGTCGTCTTCCTCTGGAGCCCCCATTGTGGCCCAAAATGTGTAGAGGCCCGACTGTCTGCATGGGGCACCGATATCCATGAACAAAAGTTTTCTGAGTAAAATCATATAAATGAACAGAGGTGAGCTTACACCTCGGAAACATTCAACCAGATTTTTTACCCTTTAACACACTGATGTTACATTGTATCCTCCACGAAATATATTAACGTACATAGATTATCGCGCATACAAACACACACACTGAAGTCTTGGCGGAGAAAGCAAATACCGTAACCCTACTCGAACAGCAGAGAGATTCGTACTGACTAGCTGGCTCGCCGCTCGCTCCCTGGGTCATTCAAACTACACTACCACCCCCACCCACCTTCCCTCCCTCCCTCGCTGTTGCCACTCGTCCAGTATTCCTCACGTGCGTTCATGCTGGCTGGACAAATTATCCTCTTATCAAAAACCAAACACCTTCATAAATATAATACAATAATAAAAGTTAAATTAAATACTAAAACGCTTAATGTAATACGCTTGCAACCATGGGCTTTAATTAGATAGAATAATTTAGCGCTTTAGTTTTTCGTCACAGCTATCTGAAGACTTGAATCCGAATATAAATGTTTGTATTGGAGCTAAATATACCAGAACGACGTTAATATCATTATCATTAGTCACCCAAACGACTTTAACGACCATTGGGAGGACGACAAGGGAACTATTCTCATTGACCAAAAATCTGTTAAATTAGTTTCGGCGTTAAATGTTACTTTTCTTGTGTTAATATTTTACGAATTATTTTTTTTACTGCAGAATATAAAATACAAAAACAATAATGAGGTTGTTTGTGTATTACTTAAAAGATAATTCTGTCTGTCTGTCGTCATTTACATACCTAAGTGACCTGACCTGACCTGAGTTAATCATTTCTCTATTTCACCATAATATAACATCCTCACCTGACACAAGTAATTAAGGTCACTTGCCCTTTACATTAGGTCAGGTAAAACTGGTTACTGACGCAAGAATACTTATTTAACTCCCTGTGGTTATAAGTAGTGTGAGTCCTCTTTATAAGTATACACCTAAAGTACTGTATTGCAAATAGTTATTTTTTATACTTAAAGCAGTCATTTTCCTTCACATTACGACATCACGCTTACCAACCACTCAGAAACGGGCTAACTAGCTGACGTCACACTACCAACCACCCAGAAACGGGCTAAGTAGCTGACGTCACACTACCAACCACTCAGAAACGGGCTTACTAGCTGACGTCACACTACCAACCACTCAGAAACGGGCTTACTAGCTGACGTCACACTACCAACCACTCAGAAACGGGCTTACTAGCTGACGTCACACTACCAACCACTCAGAAACGGGCTTACTAGCTGACGTCACACTACCAACCACTCAGAAACGGACCTATGATATCGAAAATCATACTATTAACCAATCAAACGGGCTGCCTGACGTCACATTCCAGCCGACCAATCAGTGATCAGTTTAAGACTATTCCCCCATCAACATGAAATTTAAAGACGGAAACGAGTTATGTTAAATGAAAGCAAAAAAAATTATATCTTAGTTTGATGAGGAAGAGAGAATGTGTGTGTGTGTGTGTGTGTGTGTGTGACCTATAATTACCACACACAGAGATCATTACAAGGTGTTCGTCGTTACTATAAACAAAATGAACAGCTTCCGGTGAATCAATTTAATCCATCAACAAAACTGTATAATAGAGTATTTCTTATAACCACGTAGTCACACTTCCCTGTACAAATGGGGTCAAAACTCCCTCAACACCTACTACCATCCGAGGTTTCCACATAACGAGGTGATTAGTGAACGATGCTGCTTTTCATTACAATTAATTAAGTTACCCCTGAAGACTGTCTCATATCATCGTTTTCTTTATCGACTTAATATCGTTATCAGCGCGCTAACCTTTATCATGGCAACGAGTGTGGGAATTTTACTACAATTTTCACCACAAGTTTATCATGTGAACCTTGGTACTAACTTTGGTACGAATCTGAAAAACCAGATCTTGAGTTATTTTGAGGACAGACAGATACCCAGACATACAAACACGAACCCGACCGAAAACAATAATCCGAGGGGAATAATAAAGTAGAAAAACATAGGATAACGCAAAATAACAAAGACAAATATGAAAAAAATCACATATGTCGATAGTACAGAACAACATAGGTGGAGTACAGTACAATATAGGTGGAGTACAGTACAACATAGGTGGAGTACAGAACAACATAGGTGGAGTACAGAACAACATAGGTGGAGTACAGTACAACATAGGTGGAGTACAGTACAACATAGGTGGAGTACAGAACAACATAGGTGGAGTACAGAACAACATAGGTGGAGTACAAAACAACATAGGTGGAGTACAGAACAACATAGGTGGAGTACATAGGTGGAGTACAACATAGGTGGAGTACAGAACAACATAGGAACATAGGTGAGTACAGAACAACATAGGTGGAGTACAGAACAACATAGGTGGAGTACAGAACAACAGTACAGTACAACATTGGAGTACAGTACAACATAGGTGGAGTACAGAACAACATAGGTGGAGTACAGAACAACATAGGTGGAGTACAGAACAACATAGGTGGAGTACAGAACAACATAGGTGGAGTACAACATAGGTGGAGTACAGTACAACATAGGTGGAGTACAGTACAACATGGAGTACAGAACAACATAGGTGGAGTACAGAACAACATAGGTGGAGTACAGTAAAACATAGGTGGAGTACAGAACATAGGTGGAGTACAGTAAAACATAGGTGGAGTACAGAACAACATAGGTGGAGTACAGTACAACATAGGTGGAGTACAGTAAAACATAGGTGGAGTACAGAACAAACAGATGGACTACAGTACAACATAGGGAACATAGGGAGTACAGAACAACATAGGTGGAGTACAGTACAGAACAACATAGGTGGAGTACAGTACAACATAGGTGGAGTACAGAACAACATAGGTGGAGTACAGAACAACATAGGTGGAGTACAGTACAACATAGGTGGAGTACAGTACAACATAGGTGGAGTACAGTACACCAATCCCTCCCCCCCCTCCCAAAATCACATCTGTACACAACCATGGTCAACAGCTGTACACTGGGCCTCAAGGAGAGTAAACACACACACACACACACAAGATACGACTCAATGTTTGCTCTGTTTGCACCTGACGTCACTCGTATTACACACATTCCAAGCGAAGCCAACTAGCGTCCACGTGTTGCTAGGACGGCTATTATTACTATTAGTATATAAACTAGTAGATCTATATAATAAATGCCCACTAAATTATATAAATTACTTGAATGATCTATATTATATAAATTATTTGGTTGATCTGAGTGTGAGAAGCATGGATCGTTATTCGCATTTACTAAAAAATTTCTTGGTACAATAAAAAAGTTGTTCTTCGTTCTTGTCATGTTTACATCCTACCACTAATACATTGATGACGTGTTATATTTATGTTCTTATGAAGTGGAGGACTGTGGTAGCCAACACCTCAGACGTGGGAATGACATCTTGAGTAATTTATTCACACTAAAGGAAAAACTTTCAGAACTTTTAAAACTCTTAGAAATAAACTCGCCATGACGTCACTAAACACAAACCTACGCTTATGTAAACACTTAAGACAAATTTGTTCACTGAAATGTTTTGAAACTTTTACAGAAATTCAGGTTCATGGAAAGTAATTAGGTTGTATATTGACACACACACACACACACACACACACACACACACACACACACAACACACACACACCGCTACTGAAATTCCCATCTCATGTTCGATATATTACACAATTATCGCAGGAATTCGGACAACGTCGAGGTGAGTCAGTGAGTGAGTGAGTGAGTGATGACCTTGACGTGGGTGGTGTGTACTGTACTGTTCCCACTTCCTTGTGACCATAACAGTACAGGCCTGCCAGAGTATTATTTATTAGTGGGAACAGTTGGCAGCCCTGGTAAATTGAGTTTGGAACAGTTGGCAGCCCTGGTAAATTGAGTTTGGAACAGTTGGCAGCCTGAGTAAATAATATTGGACCATCTCTCCCTATCACACACACACACCAAGTTTTAGCACGTGATAGAGCGCTTGGATCACGGTTTCCGACACACAGGCGTAAAAACCATCACCAAGCCACTGCCTGAACCCTAGAAAGTTGACCCCCATCTTCAAGAATGTCTCAAGAAAAATCGAATTACCTGAAAAATCGTCCTCCACGGGTTTATTTCACCTTAACGCTAACCTAACCTAACCCAAACATAGCTAACCTTAAACTAACCTAACCTAACGCTAACTTAACCTGGCCTAATCTAATCTAACCCCCAGATAGCGTTAGGTTGGTTAATCGTCTTCAGGTGAAATAAGCAGGTGAGGTTAATCTTCAGGTGAAATAAGCAGGGATCCCAAAAAAAAATCCCGCCGCACCTTCATCCTCTCAACGTGTGAATCAGTAAAAAAAAATCCCCAATATATTTCCCTCAGTGGATCATAGGGAAGAGATGATGCCAGTCAGTGTCCAGTTGCTTGTGAGCGAGTGATCCTGTTAAATGGGGGGGGTAGGGAGGGGGTTAGGGGTAAAGGGAGGGGTAAGACTGAAACGACACCGCCCGTCTGTTGTATGAACGTGTATCCCCCTCCCCTGTACTGCCTAAGAGTGACTACCAAACATACCATCAGAGAGAGGTTAGGTTAGGTTAGGTTAGGTTCATTGCTTCACACGTTAAGAAAAAAAACCCAAAGTTTACGAGACAAAAATTATATCATGTACACTTAAGACTTCCATGAACTAATATTAAACACGGGACATTATGAGTAACTGAAAGAACCTGCAAAAAAAAGGGGGTTAAAAATATCCTGTATAATAATTATCTGAGTATTTTGAAGACATTTTGCAACACATTTTGAGGTTTTTTAACGAGGGGGACATTCTTGGAAGCTGTGTGGACGTGCGGTGAGGATGGAGGAGGAGGAGAGGAAGGAAGAGGAGGAGAAGAGGAGTAGAAGGAAGAGGAGTAAAAGGAGGGGGGAGGAGGAGCAGCAGAAGGGGAATGGGAGGGAAAGGGAAGGGGAGGGAGGGGACGAGAGGTAAAAGGAGGGGAAGGTGAAGCATTACTGGAGCCTGAAACATGATTTGTGAACATGAGACAATTGAACAAACTATTGGAATAAATAAGATAAATTACAGCCTTCTTTAGTCTATCTTAGTAACATTGCTAATTTCAGGCGCCAAAACTAACAATAA